ATGCTGGAGTGCAAGGATGATGCCACCCAACGAGCAGCAGCTCTTCAGTCCGTCAACCACAATGTCTTTGAGGCGACTGACGGGAATGAGACGGCAATGATCTTCCGCAAGGTCATCTCGATGCTCAACGACCCTGTTTGGGATGTCAAACGAGCTGCAATCCGATTGCTCTCTGAGCTAGGCTCACGATTCGGCCACCAGACAGTGGCGAGTCTGAACCGATTGCTCTTTCACCCTGATCCTGTGGTTCAGCTCATGATTGCCTGTGTGCTGAAGAATGTGGAGGGTGCCGACGACTACGGCCAGCAAATCTGGGGTGACCGGTCGAAAGCCGAAGCTGCTTTGAGTCATCAAGGAGGACTCCTTGAGTTTCTCGATGCAAGCTTCAAGGGCGACCGGGAGATTGTCCTTTCGGCCGTGAAGCAGGACGGGCAAGCCTTGAAGTATGCGGAGCCGAGCTTGTGTGACGATGAAGAGATCGTGCTCGCTGCAGTCGCCCAGAGCGGATCAGCGGTTCACTTTGCCAGCCAGAAGATCATCGCGAGACATGCGGGTCTCCGCGCACTGGACGCTGCTTGTGTGGAGACTACGTGATGATGGAGCACCTCGGCAAGGGCGCCTTTGGCGAGGTCACGAAAGCCGAGCACATGAGCACCAAGCAAGTCGTGGCCATTAAGAAAGTGTCCTATGACCCCGAGGTCTTCGGGCACGGCGTGCCAGCCTTCGCAGTGCGGGAGGCGTCAGTGCTGCTCAGGTTCGATCATCCCAACATCGTGCGGCTTTTAGAAGTGCATGTGGGCCGTGGCGACATTCAGATGGTCTTCGAGCTTCATCTGGCTGACCTCCGCATGGTCTTGAATCAGAATCCCGAGGCCATGTCGATGGAGCAAGTCCGACAGTACTCCGCGAACATCTTGGATGGCCTTTATGCGTGCCACACCCACCAGCTTCTTCACCGCGACATCAAGCCTCAGAACATTCTCGTCAGCGCCGAAGGCATCCTTAAGATAGCAGACTTTGGCCTGGCGCGTGTGAGCAATCACCAGCCGTTGACGCTGGAGGTGGTGACGCTGTGGTACAGGAGTCCAGAACTCCTCCTTGGTGCGACTCGCTATGGATTTGAAGTGGACTGCTGGTCAGCAGGCTGTGTGATCGCAGAGATGTCCACCGGGCGCCCGTTGTTCCCAGGAGACTCTCAAGTTAACACTTTGTTTCAGATCTTTCAGCTGCTGGGAACGCCGTCAAGTACGAATTGGCCACAGGGTACGCAGCTCCGCCATTTCAAAGACAAGTTCCTTAGTAGCTGAATGAGACACTTTACACTTTTTGGGACACTCCATTCCCCTATAGAACTGAAAGTGTACACTTTTATGGGGCTTATGAACCCAGCAACTAAGGTTCCCAAAGTGGCCAGCGACAGAACTAAAACCCATTCTCGATGTGCGACCAGAGCTTTACGGTCATGAAGGGCATGAACTCCTCAGTGGCCTCGCGGCTTTCTTCTGGCTCTTAGGACTTTAACCTTTTGGGTTGTTGAAGAAACTACAGAAGGGAGCACCCTAAACCCGAAACCCTAAACCCTAAACCCGAAACCCTAAACCCTAAGCCCTAAACCCTAAACCGGGTTGCAGAAGTCGGCCAAGGCCTGCTTTGCCTGCAACCTGACCGGCGTCTCTCATCAAGACAGGCACGCCGGCATGAGTTCTGCAGGGTTGACTCCTTTTGAGCCCGTGCAGCAGCTTGTGCTGCCTCCCAGTAGAGGTGCGTGGATCCGGACGTAGAAAAAGGCTTAGTTACGGAGTGTTTACCCCAAGTTTTTGCCGGTATGCTGGGGCTCTGGACCCCACCCCTGGGAGCTGTTCAGTGCTGCTTGGAGATTCGTCGTAGCCCAGATGAGGCCGCCCAGCTCGACCTTGGAAACAGTTTCAAGTCCTGGGTGCCTTTCTTTCAGGCGGGTGTGAAATTCACGGCCCTGACGCCTCGGTGGAGTTGAGGTGAAGGCAAAGGCCCACCTCGTTTGCAGGTTCCAGGCAAACCTGCAGAAGCCCGCGAAGAAGAGTAGGGATTAGGGTTTAGGGTTTCGGGTTGGGGTGTTTTGAAATCTGCGCAGAAGGACAGCGATTCAACCCGTTCTGCTTGTGCGCATGTGGAATGCCTTTGCCAACGGCCCGTTTCTTTGTGTCCACTCTCCGTTGGCTTCCGCAGAGCTTCCCTGCTATCGTCGCAGTTGTCGTGGCACAGTGTCATGTGAGCAGCGTTCTTTTTTGCTCATGTGGGGGTTCAGGGTTGAGGGTTTAGGGTTTAGGGTTTAGGGTTTGTATACTAGTCGGAGTCTTGGAAGTCGGCTGCGTAGCAGCTTCTCTCTGCAGGACGTAGGTTCGCGTCGGCAGATTACACGAGCAATGTAATAAGAAAAACTCTGCTCATATTCCCACGTCTCACGATCGTTCACAATCATTCACACTCCATGGACGCACTGTCCGATGCAAGCGGCTTGAGAGTTTCCGACACGGCAGCACCGAGACAAACATCATCTGAACGTGTAGGGTTTAGGGCTTAGTGCTTAGGGTTTAGGGTTTAAGGTTTAGGGTTTAGGGTTTATAAGGTGCAACGGACAGTCAGCGATCCCTGCTTGCGCCTCGGAATTGAGTTTGCCCCTTGGTTTGGCAGTGGCAGCTGCCATATACGGAGCTTCAGCTTAGTTGGGTTTAGGGTTTAGGGTTTAGGGTTTAGGGTTTAGGGTTTAGGGTTTAGGGTTTAGGGTTTAGGGTTTAGGATTTAGGATTTAGGGGGGTTGGATTCCATTCTATTCGACCCCACACCCGTGCCAGTATTCTGCAGTTAAGCTAGGAGATGGTAACACTACCTTGCAATATGTCTGGGGCGTGTCAAGCATCTAAAGGCCCTCTAAAGAATGCTCCCTGCGCAGTGGCGACCGAGTTAGCCAGGACGGCACCAGCATGAACATGATAAGTTGGTGGTATCAGTTCAGTACTTGAAGGTTCATGGATACTTGCAAAGCAGGGTTTGTGTATCTGCTAGAAATAAGGTTTGGGCAGACGTTCCGATAGAGATGCGCTCAGAGCTCAACGGCTGAATGTCTGCTGAAGTGCAGACAGACATGAGCATCAGGGCCTTGGCGAACACTGGCCCTGAAGCAACTTCCTGTCCCATGGACAGCCCAAGCCGACACTTGGACTCTGTGTGTTTTAAAATACGAAAGTGGTTTGTTTGGTCGTGAGCCATAGAGAGGGTACCGTAGTTGGGCCACAAGAGACACCCGCTCGTTGGAATAGGTTGAAGAGGTTCCTAGGCCATGATGTTTGTGCAATCTGCGCAGAAGGGACAGCCATAAAATCAACCCATTCCCCCATTGAGCCTCTGGGACGCATGCCTTTCCCAACGGCGGGTCTCTTTTGCCATTTGACAGCCGCTACCAGTGCTAGCTTCGGCCGGGCGCAGTCGCAGTCGTGTTCCCGCTCCTACCGGAGTTTCGCTGGGAGTGTGCGAACTTGATAGCTTATGGTCTTCCCAGCGGGTCGAGTCGTTGTGGCACAGTGTCATGTGAGCAGAGCTCTTTTTTGCTCATGTGGGGGTTCGTACACTCATCGGATTCTTGGGTTTTAGGTGGGTAGGAAGGTTTTTTCTGTAGGACGTAGGTCCGCGTAGGCAGATGACACGAGCCCCATAGCCGCGTGGCCCCGTGTTGGTTCTGACCTGAAACCCGAAACCCTAAACCCCAAAACCCCAAAACCCCAAAACCCCAAACCCCAAACCCCAAACCCTAAACCCTAAACTCTAAACCCTAAACCCTAAACCCTAAACCCTAAACCCTAAACCCTAAACCCTAAACCCTAAACCCTAAACCCTAAACCCTAAACCCTAAACCCTAAACCCTAAACCCTAAACCCTAAACCCTAAACCCTAAACCCTAAACCCTCACCGCATAGGCCTTCATTCACCTTAGCGCGATAGGTCGACATCATTTTCCACGCTAAGGGTTTAGGGTGCAGGGTTTAGGGTTTAGAGTTTAGGGTTAGGGGGTAGGGGAAGCAATGAAAAAGTCTCTGCTCATGTTGCCACAGCCCTAAGAATGGCGTCACAGCCTATGACGTGAAAGAAAGCTTCACGTGCACCGTCAACCCGGAAAAAACTCGGAACAAAAGAATCGGCGTAAAAATCGGCTGTGGAGCGTCCGTTCAGGGGTTAAGGTCCAGGGGTTTTAGGTTCAGGGGTTTTCGGGTTTTCGGGTTTCAGGGTCTAGGGGTTCAGGGGTGGGGGCTGAAGGTTTTAGGGGTTTGAGGGTGCTAATGTTGATTCAATCATGTAGGTTCTGACTACCCAGACATTCAGGGTTCCGGGTTCAGGGTTTAGGGTGTAGGCGAGCATCTTGAGCCTCCCCGAAACCCCCGAACCTTGCTCTAAAGTCTTACCCTGGGACCCTGAACCCAATGGTATAGGTTGGTACTTGCCCAGGGGGTAGTTAGAACCTAAACCCTGAACCCTGAACCCTGAACCCTGAACCCCGAACCCTGAACCCTAAACCCTAAAACCCAAACCCTAAACCCTAAACCCTGCAGTTTTGGGCCTAGACAAGGACCGCGACGACCTCGAGGAATGGCTCCAGGAGGGGGGGGGGGGGGGGGGGTTGGGGGCAGTACAGTTTAGGGTTTAGGGTTTAGGGTTGAGGGTTTAGGGTTGAGGGTTGAGGGTTTAGGGTTTAGGCTTTAGGGAGACTACTGGGTTTCGGAGTACTATACTTTAATCTTTTTTTGGGTTCTGGGTTCCGATTATCGCTAGTTATTCCTACAAAGTATGTGTTTTTCTTCTCCAGGGTCTACTCCAAAGTAGGGGATGATCTGACTAGCCCGTTGTACTTGGAAGTTCCAAGGGTTTAGGGTTTAGGGTTTAGGGTTTAGGGCTTAGGGTTTAGGGTTTAGGGTTTAGGGTTTAGAGTTCAGGGTTTGGATAGCCCCAGTTATAAGTCTGCTTAGAACCTA